GTAGAAGGAGGTGGGAGTGTCCAAATGAGGTGCAGTTTTCACCCACACGATCACGATCGAACGACCGAGAGCATGAAGGGGGTTTGGATGGGCTCATGGGCTGTGGTGAAGAGGGGCTGGGCTGCAAAGAGAGAGGGGTTTTGGGCTGCGCGGTTAACCGTTGGGGGATCAAACGACCTCCAAATGGAACGAAATTTGACGGGCGGTCTACCGGTGATATACCAAGGCCACTCGGCAAACCTCGGTCCATTTCGAGAATGTTTTTATCCTGCTCATGAAACAAGGTCTGAGAGGGGCGACGGGGCACGTGCGAGAGGTCTGGACTCTGAACGGACAACGAAGAGAACCGGGGGAACCCGAATGGATGCAAGTTTTGAAAAACAAGCAGATGAAATGCAGATGATGACATGGCAAAATGCAACACGCAAACAAGTGACATGGCAACAACGACGAATAGCTGGAAGACACCTGGCGCATCGGATCCGGGGCGTTACAATCATACCTTTTCTTTTTTATTCCTTTGGCCCATTTCCAATATAGAGAAGATATTTATGCACATCCTTGTTTTCAGGCCTTTCCAAAACAGTTCACTGATGATTACCTCTCAAACCACTTGTATGGACAGGAGGCGAGGAAGGTATTAATACAACACCCACGGTTCAATATTGAAGTGTTCCTGAAAAGGATGAAGAATGGATGGTCAATCATCCACATGCACTGGCCTAAAGTTGCAAAGACCTTCAACATCAATGAAGGCTCAATATTCGCCTTCCGCTTCAGCAGTTTTCCCGATGAGATGCATCTGTCTATATACCGTATATGATGCTAATTTCAAAAGGTTCTAGATGTTGCATGTGAAACTTGGTGCTGGTGCAGTTGTGTAATGGGGTAGCTGAGTGCTGAAACTATATCATGTTGTACTCTGATGTATTTCAATTATGAAATCCTGCTTCCTTAATATGGGAATGAAACATATTATGTGTTTAATATGAATGTCAATTAATAAATGGATTATTAATAATAGGGCAATTAGCCTGCTAATGGCGAATTAGCCTGCTAATTGGTTTTTGCTATTTCAAACGGTTATTGAGAAAATACCGTGGGCGATGACCTAAGGCAACGCACATGGTTTCTAGGAATAAACCGTGTTGGATCGATGAACAACCACACACGACATTCTCTTCAAAACTGTTTGCGTTAGGCCACCTTGCGCAAATGTTTACGCATAAAAACTGTGTGTGATGGATAGCCTTTGCCACACAGTTTATTCTACGCACCGTGTGTGATGCATTCAATAACGCAAACGATAATTTTTTTTAATATTGTGTGCGATGGGAACGCCATACAAACGATTTAACGGGGAAAATTGTGTGTGATGTACCTACGAACGGAAATGTTTTCCTTGCAGCGACTATGTGGGATGTATATACAAACGGAAACGTTTTGCGGGGACTGACTGTGTGGGATGTACTTATGACAGAAAATTATTTCGCCCATGTGCCTTGCATACTGTTTCCCAAACGGTTCATTACGACACACCGTTTGGTTTCACTTCGTCATTAGAAACGTTTAATCACCGATCCTACACGTGCGAAAGAATTTAGTGTGTGCTGCATCGCACATGATTACGTTTTGCAAGGCCTCTGGATCATGGCTCCATATCCCCGACAGTTTCTGGATCGTATGGGAAGGACCCCCTATCGTCCACACTCACTTGGCGATGGTCGCAAATGCCGTCGCAAAAAGGGGGTTTAAAACCATTTGTATAGCACTGACGCGTACCAGTGGTCGGTCTCACGTCAGGGGGGTCTCCGAGTCATCCACAAGGTAGGGGGCCGCCCCCAGGAGGGGTAGGGCGCGCCCTCCACCCTCGTGGATGGCTCGGGACTCTTCTGGCCCAACTCTTTTACTTCGGGGGCTTCTTTTGGTCCATAAAAAATCATTAAAAATTGGCACGTTAATTGGACTACGTTTGGTATTTCTTTTCTGTAAAACAAGGAAAAAACAGAAACTAACACTGGGCTCTAGGTTAATAAGTTAGTCCCAAAAATCATATAAAATAGCATATAAATGCATATAAAACATCCAAGATGGATAATATAATATCATGGAACAATCAAAAATTATAGATACGTTGGAGACGTATCATGGAGCGAGTTGCCGCCTTCACTCGCAACTTGGGAGGAACCTGTGGATCTTCGTCATCGCTTCCCAGCAAGCGCGGGGACAAACCGACAAACAAGGAGTGGGGGAGAGTATCACGCCTGCAGGGGCAACCCCACCGGCGGGAGGTCAAGGAGAGGAGATAGGCCAAACGGACAATGAAGATTAGCAGGCACTTAGATGCGTGGGCTGATAGTGTGTTGTGTGTCATGGCTGTTAGACCGGCCCAGGGCCTATGTGCTAGTGTGCGGTATCATCCAAGAATATAGATTGTACCAACATAGAGAACCTGCTCTTATCCGCGAGAGCTATTTATCGCATTAAGCAATCGAAGTGGTATCTCTCGCTAAAGCTTTCCACCCCCTCGCGTTGTACTGGGCTGGCCCGTTTAAGCGCGCGCAGTGTTAAAATAGAAAAAAGGCAATCAGTCCGGGCGTACAAGTAAGTCCAGCTCTTCCACCCGCTAACTCTGTGTTACAGGCAGAACACTCCCCGAGGCGATTTTGAATACCAAGCTCGTCAAGATCCAAGGTGACATGCATCCACCACTTCTGGTGCAGTGGAGCGAGTTGCCGCCTTCACTGGCAACCTGGGAGGAACCCCTGGATCTTTGTCAGCGCTTCCTAGCAAGCGCTGCTTGGGGACAAGCCGACACACAAGGAGAGGAGATGGGCCAAACTGGCAGTGAAGATTAGTAGGCAATTAGATGCGTGGGCTTTTTTTTAGACAACAGATAGTGTGTTGTGCGTCATGGCTGTTGGACTAGATCTCCACAGGGCGTAGTGCAACGGTCATAGCCACTGGGCTACACTCAAGCTCGTGTTAAACTAGCTGTGCGCGCACACTTGAGGTATAAAATAGCTGGGCGCACCCTATATTTCTTTTCTTTCTCCATTCTCTTCTACGTTATTCGGGTTTTCTTTCTTTTTTGATTTTTTGTTCTTTTTCATTTTTCTTCTCCATTTGTTTTCATTGTTTTTCTCCGATTTTTTCATTCTTTTCTTTGTTCTTCTCCATTTTTTGTTTGGTTTTATCTTTTAGGGATTTTGTTTTTTCTTCTCCATTCTTTTTTTTTCCTTTTAGGTTTTCTTATGTTTGTTTTCGTTTCACTCTACACTTTTGTACATGTCAAAAATTTTTTTTGTATACATTCAACATTGTTTGAACGCTTATTCAACATTTTTAAATACTTGTTCAACATTTTAATAGTTATTCATATTTTTCAAACACTTGTTACATTTATATTACTTATTCAACATGTTTCATACACTCATTCAACATTTTTCAAATAATCATACAATAATTTTTAATACCTGTTCAATATTTTTTAAATACTCGTTTAACATTTTTAATATGTGTTCAACATTTTTCTAATTCTTGTTCAACATTTTCAAATACTTGTTCAATATTTTCCATATACTCGTTTCAACATTTTTTAATACCTATTCAACTTTTTTTCAAATAGCTGTTCAAAAATTTTCAAATAAGTGTTCAACATTTTTATTACCTATTCAACATTTTCCAAATACTTGTTCAACATTTCTCAAATACTCGTTTCAACATTTTTAAATACCCATTCAACATTTTTCAAATAATTCTTCAAAAAATTTCAAATACTCGTTCAACATTTTTTAATACTCATTCAACATTTTTCAAATACCCATTCAACATTTTTAATACTTAATTAACATTTTTCTATGTTTGAAACTGACATTATTCAGGGGAAAAACATGTGAAAACCGATTAATAAAAACACAAAAAAGCATGTTGAATTAGACGAGTAAAGAGAGTAAAATAAAGAAAAGAAAAAAAGAGATTAAAGCAGGAAAATAAAGTAAACATGGTAAAACTCCGCTGATTTTTCTTTTTAGTAAGCTGTGCTCTCCATCTTCTACAACAAGTTCAATCTTTCGCAGTGGCTAGCAGTGTTCGGAAGTAGTTGATAGTGTCACACTACTGGGCCGGCCCAAGTGAACTTCGATCGATTATAGTAACCACGCCGCGAAAAAATAAACGTGAAGAAAAAGTGCGAAAGCTGGGTTTCAAACTCAGGATCACACGTCTTTTGTCCACTAACGCAAGAACCACTAGACAAAACACATTCTGTTCTGCAACTAGGAAACGTGCTAATTGACTGTTATTTTAGTGAAACATTAATGTAAATCTGAAAATTAGTTGAAAAGTTCATTCATTTTCAAAAACAAGTTCATCGATTTTTTTTGAAAAGTTCACAAAATTGAAAAAAGTTTCGTTGATTTTGAAAAAAAGTTCATAGGTTTAGAAAGAAACTTCATGGAATTTGAAAAAATGTTCACCGAAATTGGAAAAAGTTCATCGAATTGGAAAGAAGTTCATCGAATTTAAAAAAGTTCATCAATTTTAAAAAAAATTCATTAAATTTTAAAAAAATTCATGTAATCTGAAAATACTCCATCGATATTTATAAAAGTTCATCGAATTTGATAAAAAGCTCGCGCATTTAAGGAAATAAAAAGGAAAAGGAAATGCAAAAAGAAAAATGAAAAGTGAACAAGGAAAAGAACGTTCAGAAACTGACTAGCGAACGACCTAGAGAAAAAATAAAATAATGGAAAGAAGTTTACGGTCGCAAGTGTTCTCGTGTTCGATCCCTCGCCTACGCACTTCATTTTTTTTTATTTTTTTTTGCAAACGGGCGCCGTTTCCCTTCCTCCAACCCTACCAGCCTCCCCAGATCCGATCTAGAACCAGAGGCAGATCGAGCGGCAGCTTCCTCACAGCCAGCGCCTCGACCCCGACGAGCTTTGGCGCCCCTGTGCGGCGAGGAGGTCGCTCCGCAGTCCCCCGCGTCGGCGGCCATGTCCTCCCCGGTGCCGCACCTCGTCGACGAGATCCTGGAGGAGATCTTCCTCCGCCTGCCCACCCCGGCCACGCTCGCCCGCGCCTCCACCGCCTGCCCCCGTTTCCGCTCCATCATCACCGGTCGCTCCTTCCTCCGTCGCTACCGCAAACGCCACCCGCCGCCGCTCCTCGGCTTCGCCACCAAAGGTGGCTTCCACCCCGCGAAGGCGCTCCACTCCTTCACCCCGCTCGCCCACGCCGCCGCCGCTGATTTCACCTACTCCTTCGTCCCGCTGCCCAGGAGCAGCAAACCCTGGTTCCCCCGCGACCTCCGTGATGGCCGCGTCCTCCTCGAGAGAAGACACTTAGGGAAGATGTTCAAAAGCTTCGTGGTGTGTGATCCATTGTCGAGGCGCTTCGTGTTGCTCCCATCCATTCCTCACGACATGGTACACCAAGAGGAGAAGCGCCCTTCTGAAATCAGGCCCATGCTGGCTCCCATGGCCGTGGGTGAGCAAGGTGAGGATGAGACCTCGTTCAAGGTGATATGCTTTGCCAGCTATGAAACCAAGCTGGTTGCATTCGTCTTCTCTAGCGTCACTGGAGAATGGTCTATGGTCGCATCTACCAGCTGGACCTCTTTGGGCGGTCGCCCCCATAGGTGCGAGTACTTGCCCTTCTCGGGATGCAGTCACTTCTACTCCGCACCGACTTTGGTTGAGACGTTGATTGTGCTGGACACACGAACAATGAAGTTTTCCTCTGTGGACGGTCGCACCGGCTACCATGTAAAGCTCAGACGTCTGCCTGGCCAGGCTGAATACAGCGTCCCCCGAGGTAACCCTGTGCTGAGAAGACGCCTTGGCCAGATGAAGAGTACACCTGGCATCTTAGTGGATAGAGATGGAGCCCTTGAGATGTTTTCTCTCGTTGGTGATCACAGCCCAAATTGCTCGTTTTATCTCTATCATACCACTCGGCGAAATAATGGCGAATCTTCCATGGAATGGCAGCTTGAGAAAATTATACCGTTGCCTGGCGGGTATGACTATTTCACCGTGGGCGCAGCTGAGGGGTTCTTATTCCTCGGAGCCACTACAGAAGATCAGTTGGATGTGAGTGAAAACCCCTCAGCGCCGTTCTTGAGGATTGATTCGACTGTTTGGTCTGTGGATTATTTTTCGCTCGAGGTCAAGACTTCTAAACTTATGATGGTTTGTATGAGCAAGAGGCAATTCTTCCATGGTGAGCATGCTCTCTGGTAATTTGGCTATGCACCCTCGTTGTCCAACCCATGTGTGTGAAGTGGTTCACTGAAGATGGCACACTCACCATCTTCACTGTTAATCATGCAAATCTGTGAAAAGATCTAGTGTAAGCCTGAAAATACAAAGGCAAATAAAATTGCAAGTAAACATTGTATGTAAATTGTATGCGAGAACCCAATCAAATTGGTTTCTGGTGCCCTTTGTGATGGAGTTTAGAATAGCCTGTAGTCAAATTGGTTCCTAGTGCCCTTTGTGATGGAGCTTAGAATAGTCTGCTGCATTGTGAATTGTAATGCAAATTTAGAATTAGCAAATTGCTCCAGTTCAGCGCAATATGGATCTGAGGAGTCTGTATCATCAGGCATGAGCTGAACAGCTGCGGAAACAGTTGACATGGTTGATGACTGTGGGTCCTGAAAGCTCAGTCCCAAGTGTTATCGACGGTGCAGTTCAGTTTGAGAAAAATAAACCTCAGTTTGAGGCAATCGATAGCTTGGCAAACAGCAATTCTAGGGAGACAGAAACAGTCTCTGGGAACGTCCTTAGTGATTTTTTTTAGATCAATAGGGAAGGCTCCCCGGCTCCATTGCATAGAAGCCCAAAGCGAACGGGTCTGATACATGGTTTTCAAGCCACAAACAAGTAAAAGAAAACGAGAGCAAATTACTTGTGGTTATAAGAACCAGCCAGTCTAAAACAGGTACGAATCAACTGAAAACCTGGAACTGCATCTCCAGGATGAAAGCATAGTTTTTCCAGATGACTAGCCAATCAAACGCCGGCAAAACAAGATGCAGTGGCGGTATCATATCCAGTGGGGGTCTGCTTTTAAGCGACCAGTTGTGGCGTCGATGGTGCCAACGGGCGACAGATCTTCAGAGTGGTAAGCAATATCAGCTCCTTAGGTTGGATTAAATTAAACTGTATTGTTTTTTTCGTGACGATACCCGAAACAGAAAAGCTAGCTGTCAGCCATATGGAACAGTATATGGATGTATGACAGTTGTATGAATGCCTGCATATGTTGCTGAGATTAGATTTACCGCTTGCTTGCCAAGTTCGTTCAATTGCTGGTATTAGTTCATGATACCATCGTAAATGATCCCTTCTAACACTCTGAAATACTGGTGAGCTCTATTACAGTGCTGGGAGCTTGTGGCTTGTTTGACAGGGCTTCAGAGAAATTACTTTTATGGGAGCTGGATCAGCTCTGTTCTCTCCCGCGTTTATGGTGGTAATTGTCTTACTTTTACTCCCCTGTAAGAATTATATCGGACAAACTGCATACTGATAAGGCCTAGAAAAATGGAATATGTATATATAATGAGAAGCAATATATTGGTGGCATCAATCCTTTTTCCCAAGAAAGATGATACCACATAGTACATTTCAAATCCTATCATAAAGCAACTAAAAAAAAATCTTATCATAAAGAAAAAGTAAAAGAAGTGCCTCTATATTTATATTATAGAATAATCCACTTAGATGATTAAATCATACTCTATTTATATTATCATGCTAGGTTTGGATGTTTGTATTGGATGCCTTCGTGTTAATGGTTTCAATTCCAATTCAGCCAAGAAACTGTAATTGATATGAATACAGATTCGGTTGTTTGGGTGTTTATTGGATTGCCTCTCAGAATCTTACCGAGGTTTCAATACAGAATCATGTTTGGATGAAAAAGTAATAAATTTATGATATATAGTCATTCAATTGTAGTCACACATTGTACAAAATCACTTGCACCAACATATTAGAACTACTACTACTTACTACTTACTAAGCCTTTTGTCCCAAACAAGTTGGGGTAGGCTAGATATGAAATCTTTTCACGAGGACTTCCCAGGAGGGCACCCATCCTAGTACTACTCTCGCCCAAATGGGTTTCATACCTAAAGGACTGGCTAGTTTTTATGTTGGCTTGCCAAGCCTATCACAACCATTAGATATGAAACCCTTTCACGAGGACTTCCCAGGAGGTCACCCATCCTAGTACTACTCTCGCTCAAATGGGTTTCATACCCATGAGACTGGCTAGTTTTTACGTTGGCTCGCCAAGCCTACCATAACCCTCCTCCTTTACCCGGGCTTGGGACCGGCTATGCCTAGAAGACATAGGCGGAGTTGACATTGTACAAAATCACTTGCACCAACATATTAGAACACATAGTTTAAATAGGTGTTCCAAATTCTCAACAACAACAAGACACAATTCCCAATTTAACAACACAATAGTTCAAATAAGTTCAAATTCAACATGACACAATTCCAAATATAGCAAAACAATAGTACAAATTGGTTCAAGTTCAACAAGTTAAACAAGAAAGCATCATTTGCATAACTTCAAGGCAAACTTTCCCAAAAAATAGGGTTAGGCAAACTTTCCAAATACAAGGACTCTTACAAAGCTAAGAAATTACTTGTTGGGAAGAGAAGGAGAGGTAGGGAATGAGACTTTTTTGCAAACGAAAATAGATGCATCAGCAGAATTTTTTTTGGTTTTCAGCTTAAAAATGTTGTATCTCCTAAATAAAAAAGCAAACTAAAAATCCGTTTTCACCATTAAATCCGTCTCGACGTGATCTTCAAAACTAGACCCCATGTTGATATGTTTCGACGATTTTTTTTTGCCAGAAGTTGCCACGATGTTTACACTGCAGTTGCCATAGGGCTTAAACTAAAGTTGCCATATGGTAATTTTAGTTTGTAGATCATGACAATTTTAGTATTTTGATGATGGCAACTCCAGTACTTTAACGATGAAAATTATTTTTTGTATGAACCATGACAATTTTACGTGCATGTATCATGACAATTTTAGTTTATGGTTCATGGCAAGTCTAATTTCTTAATTCCTCGTTTTATAAATGTCAAAATTTACTTATAAATGTAGAAGAAAATAGCTGAAACATATCATGGCAACTTCAGTGTAAACATCATGGCAATTCATATGCAATAGACATGGCAACTTTTAATCCAAAAAAAAAAATTCATCAAAACATACCAACATGGGATCTAGTTTCGAAGATCTCATCGCGAGGAATTTAATGGTGAAAACTGATTTTCAATCGGATTTTTCATTTAAGAAATAAAACATTTTAAAAACTGAAAATCCAAAAAGATTCCCGCATGTATGCATGCGATGACGTGGCAATCTGTTTACATTAGAGACGTGTGGTGCGTCTCACTTTCTGCCACATGTGTGGCAGTTAGCGCGACCCAAAAAAAAGGAAGAATCAAAGAATCAATCTATCTTAGTGAAGGTGCTCGCTCTGACACGAAGGGAGAAACCGACAAAATCTAAGTAGAAAAGAGATGCTTCCAATAAAATTATTGATCTCCACTTCATACTTATAGTGCTCTATTTCGGTTTGCTTGGGTTCACTCAAGGCGTTGTTCGAGCTTGAAATCGTTGTTCAATAAGTGGTCCGGTACCAGGTGCCGATACTCAATGATAGAAAGAATTGGACGATGACCGTCACATTGTCGGAACGGGCTCGTCTATCGTGCTGAAGGCACGGCAGGGAGCTACAGTAGCCACGCAGTGGAAATCGCAGAAGGCACTGCAGGGCCCTATAGCACTATGTACTGTAACGAATCTACTGTAGTAAATCTGTACTGTAGCGGGCACCCTGTAGCACCACACTGTTCATGAGTTCCTGTAGCGCGCAGTGGAAAAACACAGAGACACTGCAGGCTACTGTAGCTCCCCTACCGTGCCTTCAGCACGGTAGACGAGCCGGTTCCCACATTGTCCCGGAGAGTCTGCACTTATCTCATTACACCATACCGGATTACCAGGTAGCAAACGAGGAACCCACATACCCAATCGATCATCAGTGCCAGAGCCTCATAGCTCCTAATCTACCTCACTGTTGTTGTTGTCTCGCGCATCATCGACGTTTGGAGCAGGGGCGGCGTAGGCTGTGGTGGAAGTGGATAGCTGAAAAAGAATGTCATGAATATAGATGTATGGAAGTCATACGACATTTATCCAACTAACACCTAAATACATGTTAATTTTAAA